TGTAGCCAGCAGTGACAAATTTGCCAGAGTGCTTGCCAAGAAGAATAAACTCCCACATCTCCTAGCTCCTCACAGTGTACAGATGCTTTCACACAGGTGATAAGACTCATCGATTGCTTTCAGAGCCCCATTTGCCTTTTCTGTGCTGCAGGGTTTCATCTTCACAACAGCCTGAGGGGAGAGGGCAAGCTGCTGACCTAAGGTGACTCCGCTAAGAAGCACCAGGCACAGACTCGCTAATCAGGGCTGTTTAAATCCAGGGCCCACATTCTTAACCATGACCCTACATGCCCTTCCATGTAAACTTCACAGAAACACTTCCCACTGGCAGAATAGAGAATAAGGGCTCAGCCATAGTAAAATAAAGTAATCTGAAAGGGAAGTGGCAGGGCTACAATTAGAAGCCAGGCTCCGGACACTTAAAATCACGATCCTTGTGCTCTTCTATTGTGATTCATTTAATGTCCTCAAGAGGGCCCATTTTAGACTTGACAAGGGAAAAAGGGACACCTCTGTCAACTGCCTAGCTATAATACTGATAGTTCACTGGCTCTTTTGATTCTTTCCTGATTTTTCAAAGGTAAAATGGCTGTAGGAACAGTCCTTGGCCAACAGGGGCACTCTCACCATCAGATGGTTGCAAGTCTTTAAGGCAGTTAGTTTTTTGTTCTCTTTTGTCTTAGTAGTAACTACTATTTATATATTTTATTTATTTATGCATACAAGAGCTGGGGGATAGGCCAGAAGTGCTGGGGGGTACGGGGTAGTGTGAGGATTCACCAGAGATAGAGTGGGGAGCAGAACAGGCCGATTGACTGAAATACACTGCTGAGGGGAGCAACAGGTAAGACAGGAGAGGCCACCTTTACAGCTCCCTGGCCAGGGATTTAATATCAGTGGCTGCTGATAGCTTCATAGTGCTGAGACTTAACCCCTTGAGCCACCAGGGAGGCCTCAGTGACTGGTATTTATTACAGCAAAAGGATTCAAAGCAAAAATCAGTGAAGGGAAATGGTACATGGGGCAAAGCCTGGAGGTAACCAGGCCCAGGACCCTGAGTTCTCTCTGGACTGCTGGTCACATAGGATGCAGTAATTCCTCTAGCAAGGCGTTAACACGTGGCCAGAAATTCCCTGCGATGCTGTTACCTGCACATTCTCATTCTCCAAGCCCAAGGAAGGACCTGTAATGCTGCATTTCTGGCTAGCTCCCAAGTGATGCCTGTGCTGCAGGAATGGGACCTCCCTCCAAGGAGCAGTTTACTAGGAGAAAGGGGCTGTCCTTGAGTGGGCTGACAGATGAGAACTTAAGAGTCAGAGGTTTTCCTTCCCTTTCCTTTTTTTGTGATCCAGGTAAAGATGGACTGCCTGGCCAGTATTTGGGTTGTGAGTTTGAAATGTCACAAAAAGGCCTTTGAAATTAAAGCTGCTTAAAAAGGAGAGAAATGAAAATAAAGGAAGGAAAATCCCAGGATGTGTGGTCACTATGATAGATGGTCCTGTTCTAGAAGAGCCGGGGGTTGGTAGGCACAACTAGCGGCTTTCTCCCAGTGAAGAGAGAATAAGAGCATGGGATATGTGTGCATGTGCATGTTATGTGTATATATGTGTGTGCATGTTATGTGTGTGTAATAGGGCAGGAGACAGGAACTGTTGTAGAACAAATGTGAGTGGGAGTAGTTATGGAAATGCCCCCTGCAAAGGATAATGACAGATTCTGCTCCTGGCAGTGATTTTCCAATAACCCTGTGTCTTCAGGGTAAATGCTTCTTTTAATTTATTTGGTATGATCCCTAGTGACCACATTTTCCTGACTCCTAACATCCAAGAGGCTATTTCTTTCTTTCTTTTTTTTTTTTAAAGATTTATTTATTTATGCTTACAAAAACTGGGGTACAGGTCAGAGGTGCAGGGGATGAGAGGATTCACCAGAGACAGAGTGGGGAGCAGTACAGGCAGATTGACTGAAATACACTGCTGATGGGAGTAGCGGGCAGGTCAGGAGAGGTCTGCCACACCATGTGGGTCAGCTCCCTGGCTGGGAATCAAATTTGTGCTTCAGTGGCTGCAGACTGCTTCATAGTACTGCACTTAACCCTGTTGCAACACCAGGGAGGGTTCCAAGGACCTATTTCTAAAGTGACTGTACACCTTGGGTTTTCTGGAAAAATCCTCCTTTCAACTCCTGCCTTTATGTTCCATCCTATATAGCAATGTTAGATTTTGAAATAGTCATAATTATGCCCAGCAAGAACACATAAACAGCTGGTCTGCATCACTGAGATCACTGTGTATATCTGTGGTTCTTAATTTCTGAGGATGGGATGTCATGAACTTTTGGGGGATTTGATGAAAGCTATGGAGTGTCATCTCAAAAAAAAAATGCACACCTTGGCAGACATGCTAAAGTTTGCATTTTTCAGAGATATTCCAGAGACCACCTCAAGCCCATTCATTGTAGGACCTCACTGGGTATGTGGGTCTGCAATGGGAAGTGGTGCAGGAGATGATGGATATTGGTGTGCACAGATAGATACAGGGTGCCTTTCTGTATCTATCTTATCAATATGTCACCCACACCCTAGTGATTTTATTCCTGCCCCTGAAGCAGGTGGTTTTCTATCCACAGAGAAAGTGTGTGTTGCTGGGCTTGTGTGTGTTCAGAACATGAGCAGTGTTTTTGTGACAGCATGCTTTTTACTTTAATATGGCAATGCCCTTCTCTCCAGAGATGTCAATATGCTTGGTGGGTCAGTTACTTTTAAAAGGAGGGAGGGAGGGGGAGAGAGAGACAGTTAAAAGATGAATAGGTGGTTTTTGAAATAGGTGAATGTATGTTCCATTGACAAAGTTTCTAGAACTAGAAGGGACTCTTGAGATTATCTTCTAACTCCTTCATGCCAGGTAGGTACCCTCAAGGGGGGAGGAGGGAGGGGGATCAGCTTGTTACATTGCTTTAATAAGGACACATCCTGTTTGCATATGATACACTTAGAAATAGTGTTCAGTTCCTTAAAAATACATTCTCTTTTTATTGAAGCAGATGGCACTCATAGCCTTTGCCCCAGTATACAATATTTTGTCTATTGCTAGTTATAAAATGAAATGGTTTTCTCCTATAAAGTAACAACAGAATAATGTGAATATAAACAAAAAAATAACTTCTGCCTCAATATCAAAGATCAATTTGAAGGGCGTGGAGGTGGTTGCAAGCTGAATTTCTAGGACCCTCTGTAAAGTAGGTAGATCTCAGCTCAGTCAGTTACATCCTTGAGGAATGCAGAATTAGGTGGCCAAATCTGATTCTGCAGGAGAATGTAAAGGTCTGTAAATGAAGTGGGAGCTCTTGATTAAAAATCTTGGCTATATTGGCCCTCCCTGGTGGCGCAGCGGGTTAAAGCACAGCACAAAGAAGCTAAAGCCACTTCTGCATGAGTTCGATTCCCGCCTGCCCTGGAGGTGACCACATGGCGCGGCAGACCTCTCCTGACCCGCCCGCTGCTCCCCTCAGCAGTGTACTTCATCGATCTGCCTGTTCTGCTCCCCACTCTGTCTCTGGTGAATCCTCTCACCCTCCGCATCTCTGGCCTGTACCCCAGTTCTGTATGAATAAATAAATAAATCTTTAAAAAAAAAATCTTGGCTATATAGTTTTGGTTTTGTTTGCTTATACTATGCAGCCCAAAGCAAATATGTTTACAAACCAAATCCTGCCAGTTTGTGAATTCTGATCTATTCCAGTTATACCTTCCTACAGCTGAACTGCTAAGGAGAAAAAGGACATCTGTGTATACTTTGACAGGGAGCAGGAGCATTGGGGAATTGAAGCCACGTCTCCTGACTTTATTTATTTCTACTTTTCTTCTACCATTCTGTTTCATTAATTTCATTCTTGTTAGCCCTCTTGACATTGTTTTCAAGGCAAGTAAAATCTTTAAGTTTGAGTTATGTGTAGGGAAATGTGGATGCTGGAGACATTCTTCAATCAAGTGCCAAAGGTTCAAGGGTCTCTTAGATGATATTTAAGTGCATCGCAATCACAGTATTTCTGGCATCACAAATAGGCAAGGAGACTCCTTAACACAGCATTCCTCCACACTCAACCCCAATATGACACTCCCTGCAGATAATTCATCTGTGAACAGACTGTTTGGAAAGTCATTAAGCTGTAAATCGATTAGTCTCTGGAGCATGTTCTACCGGATTTATTCAAATCAAATCATTGGGGGGTGACTGGAAACCAGAAGCTCTTGCAGGTCATGGAATTGTGTTATAGCAGAAAACTTACAAAGTGGCTCTTTGACCTGATAAAATCCATGACAATGGGTAAGTGTTTGTCACTGTTTCAATTTGGGGCTTTAATGTGGTCCAGTGAATCGATAGAGAGAACAGCCCCTCCTTGGAGGACACTGAGAGCAGCAGCACATCGATTTTTCATATCCTGCACTATGACTCTGGCCAGACGTTCAGGCCTACAGGGGATAAACCAAAAAATGAAGATTGTAAAGAATATTCCTTTTAAATGTCAGAAGATGTGAGAGGAATTCATGCAGGAATCAGGGGGAAGGGGAAGGGCCCAAGGCCCTTTCTGTTCTCTGGAGGTGATTAGCTAAGGCCAGTGAGACTGGTTCCCAGAAGCATCAAGAACAACTTCCCTGTTGGTTCAGTTAATTGGTGAGCTGTTTGGTTCATGATCAAAAAAGACTTTGACTTTAAGAACTCTGGCAGCAAGCCAGTCTTTTCCACACTGTAATCCTATCCCTTTACATAGGACCTGGTGCTTAGGGATTGTTCAACATATATCCAAGTCTTTTGCTTTTAATTTATTCAGTGCTCATTATGTAGCCAACACAGTATTCACATTAAGAAAAAACACACATATACACACTTCTCCATGAATTCCAGTTTCATTTTCCCACTGTGTTGCTGAAGCTTCTGCTTCAGGACCCCTTCCTCAGCTCTTCCAGAACTATTTTCATCCATGGAGAGCTGGGTTCTCACCCTCTGCCATCTTGGCTCTAACCATGCTATCGTGGATGAGCTGTGGTTTTCTGTTGAGACCATAGTCAAATTGTGACAAACACGGTCTCCAGATATTTCCAACTGTTCCCTGAGGGGCAAAATTGCCACTGGCAGAAAACCCATGATGCAGAGCAATGGCCACATGTTGAGGTGGTGGTGCTTGATGACTGCGCCCAGCTGTGACACCCAGCGTGGGCATGTTGTTGAACTTCTCCGTGTCTCAGTTTTCTTCTCTGAGAAATAGACACAACAGTTGGTGGTGGGACATGATTAGCTTTGGTGGGATGAGTGACAAAACTTGACAAAATGACATGAAAGAGTGAGTCATAGTGTTTCTTGTTATATTCCTGCTGTTATTCTTACTGGGAAGCGGATAGGATCTAGAAATGGGCCTTGAAAAACTCTAGCATTTAATATTAGATAGAAAAGGAGGAGCCAACAAAAGAGACAGAGGAAGATGAGCAGCTTGACCAGAGAAGGAAAGATGAGATGGGCTTCATATCACTGGAGCCAGGGGAGGTGAGCTTGTTAGTGGGGCAGGGTACTGTGGGTCTCTCACCCAGGTATGGGCTCCTGTGCCCATAACTGATTGTCTCCACACTTGGGCATGAGAGAAATCAACTCAATTTATTTTATTGAGACAAAAATGCCTTTGCTTTGCTAAATTTGTTAGAGTTTAGGATCTGTCTAGCAATCATATAGTTATGTTCTTAAATGGTGCTCAGAGTGTATTAGAACACTTTAGTGAAGAACTCTTTCTTGCTGTCGGAATAATGCCCATTTAAATATCACATTGCATAGTAGAATCATGTAAACCACTGAAGTGTGGTAAGCCCATAAGAACCAGCAGACTATGTAGAGAAATATTACTGAGCTCTGCTTCCTAGTGTGCAAGGCAGAGGAAAAGGGGAGGAGAGGTCTGCATCTGTTAGTAAAATTATCCTATCTGTACAGTTAGGCTTCTTTGGTTCTGATACTATAGAAGAATATCAGATTTTTCTAAACTTCTCCCTCCTCTTCCATCCCAGTTGGTCACACACAATTTCTGCTAATTCTGAACTTCTGCAGTTAAGTAGATGAGTGAAAGAATTATGGCTGTCTCCTGCCTATACACTTTTTTCCTTCCCCCTTCCTTTCACACAGATGTATGTCCTTAGTGTATTCTTACAAGGCACTGAAATAGGTGCTAGGAATATAGGCAAGAACGAGAGGGGAATCTTTACCTTGTGGACTTTCCTATTTACAGGTGCAAACAAATACCTTAATTTCTCTCTCATGAAAATGCTGAAGACAAAATAGAGCAAGGAAGTGAAGAGGTGCTAGCTTTCTGTAGGTAATGGGCAAAGGCCCCAATGAGAAGGTAGCACTGAAGCCCAGATCTGAGCAATCAGCTTTGAGAGGAGCTACAGAAAAACTGCAGATAGGGCGCCCCCTGCAGGAAAGTCTTGGTCTCCTCAGAACTCACTGTGGTGTACAGCCAGAGGATTGTGGAGGACAAGGACAGATGAAGGTCATGGGAGGTCTTTGAGTTGATGGGGTTGCAAAGAGAGGCTGCATGACTGACATGGTGGGTTGATGCTAAGCAACATACCTGTACAGGTAAGAGTTGAGCACTGATGTAGGGTTTATCTGGGGACAGGAGGCCAGTGGGCAGGTCCCAGAAATATTGTATTCTCTCCCATCTCCATGCTTGCTATAGTTTCTATTAGCATGTAAGAAATTGTAATGACTCATACTGGTGTCTTATCGCTTTTCCTGAATGAGACTTTGGGGGATAATGAACTTTCTAAATCCTCAGCTTTGGGATACAAAATAAGTCACTACTGTGTTCTCCTTTCTTATCTTTTAACTATAAGAGTTGGAGCCTTGTTAAAATAACATCTTAAGCTTTCATATGCGTAAGTGAATATTACAGTCCTTTTCATAGTTTCCTTTGAAGAGTAAATTAATGCCATGCTGGAGACATGGGGGAAGGAGTAAAATGAAAAATTGCTTTGACTTTGAAGTTCTTTGGAAAATTGTCTGTTCATTCAGCTATCTATGAGGTACCACAGAGTACAAGAATGGAGAAGGCAGCTTTGACCTATTAGGTTTCAGCCTGCTGGTAAAACCAGACACATAAACACATGATGTCAGTTAACTACATGCAGAAAAAAATGACAGGGAAGTTAATGTTGCTGGGGACACTTCCCTATGGAGATGAGATATGAGATGGGTTGAGAAGCTTGAGCAGTGGTTCACCAGGTGGAAAGAGGAGCAAGAAGACTTCAGAGGGAGTACATGCAAAGGCCCTGGGGCATGAAGAAGCATACAGGTTCCGAGAAAGCCAGGCCATCTCATGAGATTTATGGTGATTAGCAGTGTCAGATGGGACTGGAGTGCTCATAATGGGCATTTAAAGCACTCCAGGTTGTCTGGACTGTTTAGATCAAGGTTTACTAAAATCCGATTATAGTCATTCAAATACTGTTTTTCATGATGCATTATATTTGTGTGTATGTATAAAATGCCAGAACTATTTACTTAAAGTCAGTTGTTTTTTCCTTGAAATTTGTGTTGTCTACTTAAATGCTTTAGGAAGGAAATTTTCAAACATTCTGTGTTAAAGAAACCTGACATTTTAGCTGAAACTATGATGTACAGTCATGTTGTTAACACTCTGAAGCACTCCGTGACTATGAAAACCTGAAAGCTTGTCTGCAGGCTGCTAGGTCACCTCACACACCCATGTAATGTCTTACTTTACCAGTCAGGCTGCAGGTGAAAATGGGGGCTGGAGTGTTGTGAGTACAAATATAATTGCATCTATGCTTTAGAAACATTCCCTCAAGTGGCAGTGTGGAATGAAGTGGAAAGGAATTCAATTTTCTAAATGCTTCCCATTCATTATCTGCAAACTTCCATAATTATACAAACAAGGTAGCTTTACCTCTGCCTGCAGAAATGTGTTCCCACTGCGGGAGGCAGGGTATTGAATGCCTGGATTTCATGATGTTGGAGATGGTACCAACTCCTCCTCTCCAAACCTGAGTCTTTGTGTGTCTCATCTCATGAATGTTCTTTGTGAATTGAAGACCTAGTCGTCTTTATGATGGCAAGTGATGTCCTTTCACTGAAGGAGATATTATATTTTCCTGAAAGACCCCTGTGATGTCAACTGGGACTGTCCTTGGCCCTTCTGTAGGAACACACAAAACAGTGAGCTGGGCAGCCTATGTGGGCTGACATTCATTTTCAGCAACATAATAGATGTGGAGAATGTGGAGGCATGATTGCCGACATGGCATACAGGAAAGACCTTTACCCAACACCTCACCCCAGGGTCCAACCTGCAGATGTCTTTAGAACCCTGCTGGTAATTGAAACGAATGAGCTGGCAAACTAGAGAGCCAGACCCACTGAAAGGGGTAAAGTTACTAACAATGCCCGCTGTTGTCAAATGTGACCAAACTGAATGGGCCCAGTATCTTTCCGTCTCCCTGTTTTTCAAGGAATCTGGATTCTTTTGGTGTTACCTAACCATTTGTGGTTGTTGTTGTCATTGTCTCTTTACCTGAACACTTCCAACCCTCAAAGCAAATTGTGTGACCCAAACAAAACATACCCACAGTTCCATACGCTATAACCTCTATACTAGTTTACTTTCTTATCCAATTTTCTACCACTTCTGTTACTCTGTTCCCCTGGATGACCTGTCATTGTCTCCTGAACTTACCTTCCCAACATCAAGGTTTTGCTCACACACTCCCCCTGTCTAGAATCCCAGACTGAGTGTTGCTCTTTGATGTTCTAAAGTTAATAACCTATTTTTAAGTTGGCAAAGTCATGTCATGCAAAAGCAATGCAATAGTAAAATGGAAAATTATGGATTTTGAATATGGTTTGAAAATCTCCTCCAGCCAAGACCGCTGATTTGAGTCCAAAGCATGGTAGGCTTCAGAAGGGAATACAAAATAACCACATGAAATTTGCAGGTAGTTTACACTCTAAATTATATACATGTATTTTTTTTTCAATAAATTAGCCAACATTTAGATTTATTGGAAAGAGAGGACAAATGGCCAGCTCCAGCATTTGGCTGAGGTACTGAAAAATGTTTCTATGAATTAGATTCAGCTGATTTTTCTGGTGAATTTTTCCCTGATATGGGTTAATGAGGCTGAGTAATGCTGTGCTGAGAGGGCTGCGCACCTGTCAGTATCACCGGTGCTTCCTGAGCCCCTGACAGACATCACTAATGGAGCTCAGTACCTCACTCCCACTATGTCAACCCCATGCAGGCAGGAAATCTGTCTCTTCTGTACACTGATGGATTTCCTGAACCTACGGCTGTTACTGGCTTCTACTGCTTATTGAAATGTTTGCTTATTAACTACTAAATTCACACTCAGAGTCTTCCCCAACACTTTCCTTTAATCATTTAAATCAGTATGGGATTTAGAATCCTTTTAGGTGCCCAGAGGTGGTCTCCCCCCCCCCCCAGCTCCTTAAATTATGGGGACTGTGTTAAAAGTATGAAACTTGAGTAAGGGTAGAGTATGGTGGAGAAGAGCTTTTGTTCTTAAATATTTTCAGAAAAAATGATTCCAGTCGGGTGAGAGCTGTGGAGTTAGCCTCATACATGCAGCATGAAGATCTTAAGACCCTGAAAGGATACAGGTAAGCTGACCCTGTGATAGCCAACTGTCATGAACTTGGCCTACTTAACACCCACCTCAGTCATTCCATCTTTCGGTGTGCAAAATGCAGAGCCTCCTAGGACTGGAAGACCCTGTTCCTTTTTAAATATTACAAGAGACTGAGGACTTAGACACCATACCCTCTAAACTTTCTTCTCTGCACACACAGTCTCTGACTCACAAAGCGTGGGGCTGATATTTCTCTTTGGGACAATGCAGTATGCTTTTAAGAGTCAACTCTGAATGGCTCCCTGGGCCCACCAGGTGCCTGGAATTAATGACAATAACCAGTCGTTATTGATGAGTCAGAGCCTGAAGCTGTGCCAGCCACTTGGTAGGCATTGCCTCATTTTGTTCTCCCATCCCTCAAATGTAGACAGGTTATTCTCACCATTTTGCTGATAAAGATACCAAGGCACAGAATAGGTTATAATGAGTATAGGATTTTCTTGCCTGAGGCCTTCCGGTTAGTTATAGAGCCAAGATAACAAACCTAAAGCATTTTGTTTTCAGATCTGAA